TTCTGATAGTACTTGCATTCACATCGTATCTTTTGTTATATGCAATAAAGTTCTTTTTAGTTTGTGCCTTTCTTTTGCAGTGCTGCATGGTGCTGAACCATTGCCATATTACACTGCTGCCCACGCAATGAGTTGGTGTTTACAGTGTTCTCAAGGAGTGGCTTATCTTCACAGCATGCAACCCAAAGCTCTAATTCACAGGGACCTGAAACCACCAAAGTAAGTTCTAATGATATAGTACCCCTCGACCCTCCCCCCTTCCTCCTTCTGTCTTGTTCTCACTCTCTCACTTTCATTCATGGCCCCCACCCACTCCCTAATTCAACCTGATTGTTGTATAAAAGTTTCTCTTTTTCTTTTTGGCTTACTCAGTGTTTATTTTTAACTCACCATCATTTGGTCATTTATCTAAGCTTGTATTTTAGATGTTGTCTTTAGTGGGATTTTTATTTTTAATAACTTCTACCTTTGATTAGCCTGCTTGTAGAATCTGTTAGCCTATACATCTCATTTTGTGCCTGCAATATATAATGTTGCCCATAGACAGTTCCTTGAGAACAGAGACAAATCTGACTTGTTTCTTCCTGTATCCCTAACAGCTAGCACAACGTCCACACATAGTAGACATTCCACAAAACTTTGCAGAGTAATTATTACTTGCCCTTTCAGAGGAAAGCAAAAGGGCATTTCTGGCATCTGGGTGGAGATTGAAAATATTCTGAATTTTTTCATAATGAGAATCCTTGGGACTTCGAAAAACTTATAAATTCCTTAGATAAGTAGTTTAAAAGGCAAAAGTTTTGGGTTTTTTATGTATAGATATTTAGTTAAAGAAAACATATAAAATGTATCTCTCTAATTTCTTTTCTTTATGCACCTGTGACAAAGTGAAAAAGTCCCCACATATCTTCCTCCATGCTGCCCCCACCCCACCACATCAGTCTTCCGATGAGAGATTCGAGGTCCCCCCTAGGAAATCAGTATAGTCTTCAGTTTTTCCATTCTGTTGATGCTGGTTTAAAGCATTAAAACATCCCTTCTGGGTGTAACTTTTCACTCATATTTAATCTGGTACACACTACATACGTTCCAACTCTTAGAATGGCTATTCTTGCTAGTGTACCTTATTTCTACTCCTAGGCTTAAACTGGTTCTATTTCCCCAGGTCCCTGGTAAAATAATGTTTAAGCTCTGGATTCATGACATTTTCATTTTTTAAACTTGACCCCTGAGGCAATTATCTTAGCTACCTGCCTTAACTAGTGAAGAAAAAATGTCTTTTTTCTCTGGTTATGGATATTTGATCCTCCTTCCCCCTCTATATTAACACAGAGTTGAATTATTAAAGCAAACTAGTGAAAATTATAGCTCTTATCCAGCAACAAATTGACTAATGGTTTAAAGGATGTAGGCACGAGTCAGGTACAGACAAAGCATTCTTTTCCGTGAGGAGCCTGAAACCATCAGATGTAACACCTACGTGTCCTTTTTCTTCTACATTAGGATGTGTTTTGGCTTTGGAATAAGTGGCTAGTTATTGAACAATATATGGAGAAATATCTTACAAAAGGAAGCCATTTCCATTTTCTAACATCTTTTGTATTGCATTAATTACACAGCTTAAACGACTATCCCCAGTCTCCATCCAACCGTACTTCATAAATTTTAGGTTTATTTAATCAATCTAATTAGACCAGATATATCCCTGTAAAATCAATTGTAGATAGGGATTCTCCTTTTGGTAGTAAATACCATTAACATCTAGGTCATTCATTCCTCTTGGGCCTCTTCCTGGTTGGATCCATCGTGCAAATCATCTTTGGTGCACCTAGTATACAAATTGGAATTTAGAATTAGAATTGATTTTCCAGAAGGTACTGAGGAAAAGAAAATTCTTTAGCATGGCTATGCTTTTATACACAATTGAATATACATGAATACATGCTATATCTTACTGTCAGTAGAAAATCTATAGATTCTGTGATCAGGAAGAGTTCCTCAGAATGGCATATTAAGAAAGCACCTGATAATCTAATGAGGCATTTTATATGGTATCAGATTGTGCTTGTACCCCTATTTTATTTATCTTGCAAGTTCATTCACAGGTACAGCAGAAATTAAAATGTATTTTAAGTCTTAACTGTGTGAAAGTAAGCCTACAAAGATAATTTAAGTTCAAATTTCAGTGAGCCTTCAATGACATGGTGAAGGCTGGTGAACTATTAAAGTCTTATGAGTAAAGGAGTACTAATATGTTATAAAAGTCATTCAGAAAAATGATTATGATACCTTAAATGTACCATGATAAAACCAATTACGAAGTTCTTGCAGTTTTCTTGGGTAAAAAGTGTAAGAGTTTGAACAAAAACATTGAGATCTGGGGAAAATCTTTTTAGTTGAATTACATACAGAGTGCATTTAGTGTTCTTGAATTATCAAGGAAGTATTTTTGGTAATATGGAGATGTGAATAGTACTAGTATTTGAATTATGGAAATATTTTTGGTAGTATGGAAATGTGAATAGTAGTTTATCTGGCTTATCTTAATCACACTGGACTAAAAGAGAACAAATTTTATAAATAATCTCTCCAGATACAAAAAGTTTATAAAATTTGTAATTAAAAGGAATCCCCATGTATTGCTGTTGAATATTAATTGCTACAGAGTGATTATGTAAATTACAGTAACCATCTCTATTTCTGTTTGTCATCAAAAGCAAAACTTGTTAAGTAAGAGTATGCTACTTGATGATTAAGCTCCCATTTCAGGACACCATAATGTTGACTTACTGGAAGTTTTTTAAACCACATGTTTTATTTTGGACAGAGAGAAGTATAGTCAGTAAAGATTATAGAGATATGAAAATGTGAGTCTAGCAGCCTCCCTAAGAGAGCTAAGTTATGGTCAGATAATTTTTGCTTATGTTCCTCTGAACTATTAGGCTGATATAGTGACCAAATAACATTTCACAGAAGTTGAATTGTAACATTCATTTTGGCTAACTCTTTCAATTTCCACAAATATGTCTTCTTGTATTGTAGAATCGAGTATTGGCCTTGTAACTTTTGACATATATATTCTTTTAACAGCTTACTGCTGGTTGCAGGGGGGACAGTTCTAAAAATTTGTGATTTTGGTACAGCCTGTGACATTCAGACACACATGACCAATAACAAGGGGAGTGCTGCTTGGATGGCACCTGAAGTTTTTGAAGGTAAAATAGCAAAAGCGTGATATGATTGATAATCTGCCTCACCCCATGTGAATCCAATATGCTTTTATAGATTTTCCCCATTTCCATGGTTTTATTTCTGCATAGTGCATAATTATAAGGTATATACTGAAGTCTGAGGAGGAATTAAATAAATATAGATTTATATCCTAAATTTTATGGCAAGGTTTCAGTTGTCTGGTATCTTCTATGCAGGCTCAAGCATATATACAGTTGATCCTCATTGTTCAGAGATTCTTTAGTTGCAAAATTGTCTACTTCCTAAACTTTATTTGTAACCCCAAAATTAATGCTTTTGGTACATTCACGGTTATTTGCAGATGTGTGTGCGTAGACCAGGGTAAATTTTGAGTCATCCAACACATGTTCCTAACTGAGATCGTGTAACAAGGCAACACTCCACCTTCTTACTTCAGCTCTCATGCTATAAACAGGTGTCCTTTTTATGATTTGTTTAGAGCCATATTTTTCCCATTTTTGTGAATTTTGTTGGTGATCTTGCTGTTTATAATAGCCCCCAAGCATAATACTGCCTAAGTATAAGAAGACTGTGATATGTCTTACAGAGAAAATACATGTATTAGATAATCTTCATTCAGGCATGAGTAACAGTGCTGTGGGCCATGAGTTCAATATTAATAAATTAACAATATATATTAAATAAGGTGTCTTTAAGCAGAAGCACACATGAAACAAGGTTATGTATTGATCAGTTGACAAAAATGTTGTGACCAAAGGCATGCAGGAACCTAGCCCCGTATTTTCCCCTAGGAGCAATTATTCAGTGTTCGCCAATTCAGTGTTCCCAGAGACTTTGTAGAACATAAATACCAGGAATAGCAGTGCTTTCATATTGGTTTCCTAGTAACTAAAAGTGGACAGCCCTAAAATTTAAATGAGCATGCCTTAAAAAGAATGCAAGTAATTGGGCAGAAATATGATAGTAAAGACTCCAGATAAAGGGCAAACCTGTATGTTTACTTTTTTACTTTCTGTTATACCTCCATTTCTCACTCAAGTCCTAAAAGATCAGTCTATAAATTGTATACTTGGTTTCTGTATAAAAACATCAAATTGTCTTTTAAATGCGAGAAGTTAAATTGAAGGTATATAATTTGTATGTTAGGAAGTATGAATGCCCGCAAAATTCAGACACATTGAATTAATCAGACCCTGATTTTGGCTTATTTGTTTTATTTGTGATGAGTTTAAAGTTTTTTACTTTTTTGTTTGTTTTTAGCCACCCCGGAGAAAAAATGCTATGCAACTAGTCACTTGAGTGGAGCTATTTTGCCCTAAAATGCAATTAAAAAATTAGTGGACAATGAAGTGTTATATTGCATAAAATTGAATAATGCATTCTGTGTCGTATACAGAATACATATATTTGGCATTGTTTTAAAATTATATACTTACTTAATGTATCTTTCTGTGAGTTAAAATGGCATATTATGGAGAACAAAAAGATTTGTTTATACAAAAGAGTAATAGTTACCATTAATTGTCTAGAGCAGCAAAACTGAGATTATTAGGCTATATAGACATATTCATTTCTGAAAAATGTCAACTGACTCCACCTATATCCTAAATTAGATTGTAACATTGTAAGCCACATTACAGTGTACTACTTAGCATGTAAAGGTATCACTATAAAAGCTGTTCATTCTTAATGGTGGGTTGGGGTTTTTTTGTTGTTGTCTTAGGAGGATTTTTTTTGACCTTTTATTGTACTGATTCACCCAAGAACTTAGCAGTCCTACAAATTTTGCTGTATAATCTAAATTTTGCTGTTTACTGTAAATTTGTTATCCATAATTTTCGTTACTTACAGCTTATGTTTAAGTTTGAAAATTAAGAATTTTATCTCACTACATGTGGAGAAAAAAATGCAACACTAAATTAGAAAGTTCTTTTGCTTCAATAGCAGAGTCATGCTATCCTATCAGAGAATGGGAAGAAAATTTAAGATTAAAATATTACAGAAAGGAATATATAAATGTTTTATACTCTGCCCCAAAGAAAGTATCAGTCTAAATACATAAAAAACAAGGCCTGTGCCTCTTAATGAAAAGGTAGAAAATAACTGACTTTCCAAAGAAGATTTTTTAGTATATTCTTGATTCTTAATTTATTTAAAAATGTATTTATTGAAAAGACTTCAAGTACTTCAGAAAGATTAATTTCTTAGCTCCACATGTGATAGCCTCTTGTTTTCATCCAAAATACCCATTCTTAAAATTTATCAAAGCAGTTGTTTCTTTAAGTCATATAGAAAAAAGTTTTGAGATTATACTACCTTTTTTTTATTAGGTAGTAATTACAGTGAAAAATGTGACGTCTTCAGCTGGGGTATTATCCTTTGGGAAGTGATAACGCGTCGGAAACCCTTTGATGAGATTGGTGGCCCAGCTTTCCGGATCATGTGGGCTGTTCACAATGGTTCGTGAAAAGAAATTTTTCTTGAATGTACTTTGCATATTTTCTATTTGGAAGATTACTCCTGTCCCCTTCTCCAAAGAATACCATTTGTTTCTAACATTAAAATGTATAGTCTTTGTTAACACAGTACTTTACTGTCATCAGTCTCTGCCCCTCTCCCTGCCCCAATGTCCAGCAGGGCAGAGTTGGCAGTCCTGGCTTTCACATGGGGCTGAGGACATTTATTGGCTGTGCTGATTAGGGAAAGTCCGTCAGTGCACAACTACAGCCAGCTGTCTAGGTTGGCTCTCTCTTAAGGATAGAGAAACATCAGACTGGACTGTGGAAAAAATAAAATAAATACATAAATAAAATATTTCACATGGGGAGTAATAGCCTTTTCCTCCTGAGGAGGCAAGAGTCTCACAGAGGAGAGAAAGCAAACAATAAGAGTTGTTACTTAAGCTCATAGGCAAAATATAAAGTGCTTCACATACCTTTCTTTTTATATTCTCACCCATCCTTATGAAATGAGCCCTATTGCCTCATTTTACCAATTAGGAAACTGAGACCTAGAGAGGATAAATAACTTGCCCAACATCCAAGATTGGTTACGTGATAGAGCTGGGATTCAAATCCAGATCTTTCTGACTTGAATGCCTATAAGTCATATTGATTTACGGAGTCAATGTCCTTGCATCTCTCCTGTTCCTTTTATACCTCTAATGACGTTTTTAACCACATATGATGTTAGAATGTGTCCTCTCCATTAATAAAGTTACTTCACATTTGCTTTGGGAAAATAAGCTCTTCATGAAGCTACTTAACCTTCCTAACTTGAGCATCACTCTCAGCTATTTCAATTGTATCAGATTATTATAATCGTTCTGATTAGTGACATTTTTATATTTTATTCCACAAGTGATAAAAACAAATGTCTGCCTGTTATTTAGGTCATTTAGACTTACCAAACAGTGCCATCATCTAAGTAATCTTACCTGTTTTTACCAGTTTCCTGTACTGCCTTTAATGTTACTACCTTTAGTGTCATAGAGAGTGCTAGAACATTGACTAAGAAAGTTTGCTTTCTTTCTCTCTGTTGTCAGTAAATAATTGAATGTCAGTGAATTAAGGAGTAAAAGAACTAACTTGTTAATTGATGAAATTGTTAATTGCTAAAATTATAAAAATCTCCTTATATTTGAGGACTTCTTTAAGTAGGAACCTTACTAATAATATTACAGGTTTGGTAATTACAAAAGGTTGGCAGTTTTCAGCTTGTGAAATGCAAAATGACCCTCCCCACAAAAGGGTCATTTGGTAGTCAGTGAGTATAACACTGTAGTTGACCCCTTTTTAGATATGGAAGATGATTTTTCAAACACATTTGCAATTGAATGTGAAAAATGCAATTCAAGAAAGGTTTTCTGAAGCCACCATTTTACTTTATTAACACATTAAGCCATTGTTATTTGTTAAAAGAGTGTTTGTAACAAATCAAATATCGTTAATTCTCAGTCTTACTATAATATACTATAAA